TAAGTATACTACAAATTATTATTAAAATAATATGTAGGCACACAAATTAGAGCTTTTAATTTATCAATTATCATTATCTTCTCTTTATATCAATTCTTTATTTGAATATTGTATATACGCTGTAACATTGCAAATTAAACGCAATATAAATTTAATTGTATTAGCAAACAAATATAATTTATTTAGTTAAATTGTGGAAATGTTATACATACATTTAAAACAAAAGTACAATTTAAGTACTTTATATTTTCAGTTATATTCTCAGTTATATCCTTTTGATAGTTTTGCTCTGCCTGCATTCGAATACGCTTTCTATTATTTTGTTGAGTGTACAAATATTAAATTGTTAATTTAAAATTTTTTTAATAATTCGTCTTTTTATTTGGCGCAATTAACCCAATATATAAAAAGTTCTAGAGCTTTGAATTTTTCTACTTTAAGACGCTAGAACTTATTTGTTTGCGGTCTTAACTATTTGATTATTGAGGATAGTCGTTAGAATCCTTTGGGCGGGAAGGGGCTATCAGAATTCATAACAGAAGGCCGGAAATAAAAAAAAATATTTTTTCAAAAAAATATAGTGAAAATCGTTGCTAAAGTATAAATGTTATTGTACAATAATAAAAAAGACAACCGAAATGAACGTGCCTATTTCTGCGATGCTTGATTCCAATTACCTGAAGACGAGTTCTGGGTATAATCTATCGCGTACTCATTTTTCACGTACGCTGGTTGTATTTGTTTGCATTTTAGAAACATGAAATAAAGTTTTTTAATTGCAATTCTAATATATTTTGCATTTTACTTTCAATTTCTCGGGGCATCTCATATTAGGAGCACAATTTTTTGAGTTTGCTATTTGCTCACTTTTTACATTTCTTTAATTTAAAAAAAAAATGGAATTTGAATTAAATTTTATATAAAGTTATCTTAAAGCTTATTAAATTCCCTTCAAAATGACCTATCATTTTTTTAAATTCTGCCCATAGACTTCTAGCATTTATCCAAAATGTACTCGGTATCTCATAATAGGGGCCTTTCCTCTATTAATTGTCAATTGAATTAATCGTCATCGATTAAGTTAGTCCGAGTTTGCCTTTAAGGACGCTTTAAAACAACATAAAAATATAAAAATTAGAAACTTTTCTAAGTAGATGTCTTTTTCTAATAGTTTTATACATTTTTAAATATTTTTAAAAGTTTTCAAAATAATATGTTAGTCAATTTATATTGTATCATATTTGAACTACACAGCCATTTTTAAATACATCACTAGTAGTTGCCACAGACTCTTTACAGATGTCGCATTAGTCACTGTCTTCTGTTTATCCATATTTATCCTAAAAACATCTGGAAGACAAGCACGTGAGATCAAGAAGACAATCTTTTATGAATATTTTGATAAAAAAGTGTGCGTAGTTCTTGCTTGAAGATGAAAGTCAAAGTATTAAGTAGAAATCCTGATGAATACTTACGAGAGACTAAACGAGACATCCACAAAAGTAAGTAAATCGCCAAAATAGTTGCAGGTCTAACCTAATCGTGCGGAACATAGCAATGAAAATTATATTCAATTATATCAAAAAGCTGAGCAAAATTATTTAAAAGGCAATAAAACATTAAGATAATTAATGCCCAGTCATATAATTTCAAGGAAAGGTTGAAGACGCATAAGTTCCACCAATCGGTGGAAATAACCTCAAAAAAAAAAACTGCAATAATCGGATATTGTTTTATCGTTTACAGTTCCACGAAATTTCGATCCCTCTTTACATCCCTTCCAAGCGGCCAGGGAATACACAAAAGCACTGAACGCCGTTAAATTGGAAAAGGTATTCGCGAAGCCTTTTATAGGCAATCTAGAAGGCCACAGGGATGCAGTGTCCTGCATATGCAAGCATCCCTCTCAGCTGTCTACAATTGTCAGCGGCGCTTACGATGGCGAGGTGAGAACGTGGTCTCTCAGCCTGGGTACGTGCACACGCGCGTTTTTGGCTCACGATGGCATAGTTCGCGGTATTGCGTACATGCCAGATGGGAAACATTTCATTACAGTCGGTGATGATAAGACCATCAAAACCTGGGACGCAGTCTCTGCTGGTGAAGACGAGGAACCTGTGAATACTATTATCAATAAAGTATGCGGCTTTTGGATATAGTTTTCTTAAAATTTACTAAATATGAATATATTTAAAACTACTTTTTAATCAATTTCTTTGTCCATAGACAGTATTAACTGGCATAACTCATCATCGAACTAATCCTACATTTGTTACTTGTGGAGAAGGAATATGTCAAATGTGGGAGAATACTCGTAATGAGCCATTTCGTACATTTAAATGGGGTGTAGATAGTCTAATCGACATAAAGTTTAATCCTATACAAAAAGATCTTTTAGGTACAACATTTGATGAAAGATTATTATAATCTATATACATATGAGATACTAATAAAATATGCTTTATGTTAAATTTAATTTTAATTTTCAGTCTCTTGCGCCAATGATCGCAGCATAATTTTATACGACACTAGAGAAACAGGACCTTTAACAAAGATTACAATGAAATTACGCAGCAATAAACTCTCTTGGAATCCTATGGAAGCTTTTATCTTTACCTGTGCCAATGAAGATTACAAGTAAGATATAAAATAGAATATCAAAGAATTGCTTCCTGCAATTTCTTCGCGAATCTTAAATGTATTTGTTTTAGTTTGTACACATATGATACCCGCAAGATGAAAACGCCGGTTAACGTACATATGGATCACGTAGAGGCTGTGATAGATGTGGATTATTCTCCAACGGGGAGAGAATTTGTTTCGGGCAGCTACGACAAGTCGATTCGTATTTTCGAGACGAATAAGGGTCACTCACGAGAAGTGTATCACACAAGACGCATGCACAGACTTACCTGTGTAGGATGGTCGCTCGATAACAAATTTGTAATTAGCGGCAGCGACGAAATGAATCTTCGTATATGGAAGGCTCAAGCATCGGAAAAGCTCGGCATTGTAAGCATATAAATATCACGATTCCACGAATTTATAAGCATTTTTTCAGTTACCGATAATACTCTCTGTTCCTAATTTCAACAGCTGAGAGCTAGAGAAAGAAACGCACTGCTTGTCAATGACGCTCTGAAAGAGAAGTACGCAGCGCACCCGGAAGTTCGACGAATTGCACGTCATAGACAAGTACCGAAACACATATATAATGCGCGAGCCGAATTACGAACGATTCGCGAGAAAAGTAAACGCAAGTAAGTATAATGAAAACCTGCAATATTCAAATTTTACAATATACTTTTGAATAGTATTATATATATATTGTTTTATCTCGCAGGGAGGCTAATAAACGTTATCATTCCAAGAAGGGAACTGTACCGTTTGTACCAGAAAGGCAAAAGAATGTTGTGGCTCACGAAAGCTGAAACGGCACATATTTGTATCTTTTTATCTGTCACATTTCGGCCTTTATTTAGCGACTCGTTTTAAATCATCGAATTTGTCCTGTTGGATTCTACAGGATGTTATGCAGTCATAAGGAATACTTTGTATTATATTTATTGTAATAAATAATTTCTCTTGACATTATACAACGCATTGTGATAATAAAAAATCATGAAACATTACAAACCTCAAGCAGTGATTAATGTCATGCGTAGCGTACATTACAACAGTTAATTATGGTGTGTCTTTTACGCGATTATCTTAGCACGCATTAATCGATTTAATACAAACACTTCATTTTTCCCTTGTTATTATTCCCTTGTTATTTTAACTTGATATTCCAAAAACACTATTTAAAAATTTTTGCACAATCCATTAGATCGCGCATGTGCGATAAGATTAACGACATGAGACACCACTGTTTTTACGCAATTGCGGTTATGAGTTTAAAAAATGATTTATGATAGATGTAACGAAGTTTTACAGATACAGATATTTTTGACTCGTTATTACAATAAATTTTAGCAATTCGCGTTGTCATCAACGCGTTGTTACAGCGACACAATGTAGAAGCAGAAAGTCACAATCGATTCATATTTGCAGAAATCTATTATACATATCATACATACGATTTCAATGCACTATATGCATAATTCTGAACTTCCTTTAACACAATGCGTCACTAGACACGAGTCTGAATATATACTTGTCGACAAATTATGATGCAATCTCATTTGTCGTTCAGGAATCGGAACCGTCATCATTTTAGAAAATTTAATATTCAATGCTACAAAAATGTACGCTATGTTGTCTTTATATCCCTATAGCATAAAAATTTAATCACCGAGACTGTTGCAGCTTAATATTTACTCTTATTTTTTAATAATGAATAACGGTCATAATGAATGATTTTAATGAGATGGCAGTTTGTAGATTTCGATGTAGCTTGTACATCCTATTTAATAACCAAGGAATCGCTAATATGTGGTGATTATACTCGAAAAATTATTTTCTGGTATATAAAAAAGTGCAGTTTAGTGTCTGGTCGACGCTAAGAATCGTTATTTTAAATACGATAGTTGTCTACGCATTATATGATTTCATTGTCGTAACTATGCGCGAATTTCTGTACAAGACTAGGATAGCTGAGAAACTAAATTATCGCCTATTACAATAATTCGTGTTTCGTCGAGTCGAAATTTCGAGGAAGTTCTGTGTCCTCTCTTAGGCGTAATTGCATTTCCAAGATTCCATGCCGTTTACTAATCCTCTTTGACGTTTACTAATTAAATATACGTGTGGAAATATAACGCGCGAGTGAGAATAATTATAACATATATATACATATAAACACATGTACATCAATATTGCGATCAGGGATCAAAGCGAAAAATATTTCAGCCGTTTTTATTCTCGTTTTGCAGTTTTATTCTACATATATCTTGTTTTCATCAAATTATAATGGAATATTTTCCAATAACTTCTTATTATTTCATTCGCTGTGGAATGAGAAATAAATCAGAAAATTTTCGTTTTTCATGTTATTTTGTACGAGATAATAATTGAAATATATGGCAATCAAAATTATTCCATTTTCAATACTAAAAGAGAGCAAACTGTTTCTCTTTTTATCGAAATTTCGGTGAATATTGTTTCGTTTTTGGTCCCCGATGTATCATCGGATTGCGATATACCATCGGGAATGCGATTAAATGATAAATGAAAGAATCTAACTCCGACATATATAGGCTCGATAATAGCTCGACCATATATCTTGACTTTACTCCTAAGCTCGAACATTTTTTCAGTGGTTCAACTTAGCTGAACCTATAGAATATGTAACGTTTCCTTGTATTTTTTGCATTTCAAAGATACACTTTTAATTAACTATAAAGTCCAATCATAAAACAGAGGAAGCGATTACATTTGCCTATTATACAATAGCCTTCTCGCTTCCGAAGCAACCACAGAATATATGTTGTGTGTGACCATGGTAATACGAGCCTCAATTATATCTTACGAAAAGATAGATAACTGTTCACTGTTCAGTCGAATAAAAATTACTAGATCACTCTCTCTCTCTCTCTTTCGGACGCCGTGAATAAACTGTAATCGAGAGAGGAACTAGATGAAAAAATATTTTAATATAACGCTACCCCGGAAAAGAAAGTTATCGATTTTTCTCTCGGAGAACAATATCCTTCACGTATCACCTTCAAAATTTTTTTCTGAAAACTTGGACGTCCTTTCAACGTGTTTTTAAATTTTGTTTCAACTGTAAATCAATCAAAATTTACTCGAAATTTTTTAAGTTCGTAACTTTTCGCAATGAATTCATTAATTCTCCCTTATCTTCTTAATGCTCCAATTACGCATCTAATGCGCGTTTTATAACAAGAATATATTATACGAATCGTTTGGTATTGTTGCAACTATCGAGAGCAATCCAAACGATAACAAAATTCGATTTCGACAGTTCGTTTAACGTAGAGAAACTCGCAAAAATATAATAATCTTCGTAACGAGCACTTGAACATATATTACGTTTTGTGAAAATAATTTATACCGATTGAAGTTCCGGCAGACGTCAATTGCTATAGCATATGCTTAAAACTAACATCTGGCTAGGCGCACGTGCTGTAATACAAAAAAAATCGAATCGCTATTCCAGTCACGCGTCCGTATACAACACTAGCAGTTATTAAATTATCTACGCTACATTTCTTACCGTTATTAATGACTTACGATTATGTATCACTGGTGGCTGTGCGAGTCTTTCCGGAACATAGATTCGTTAACTAAGCGTCGTTTAAAGTGCGTTGCGCCGATGTCAATTACCTTAGGCAAAATCTCTTCGCGGATAATGATTGCGAATAACGATCGGCTTTTTACATACAATACAAATGGCACAAAATCGATCCAGGTACAAATATACCGAACGGTGCCTCACGTATCTTCCAACTGGTTTTAAATGAATCGACAAACCATAGGAAAGTGCAGAAGAGAAAGAAAGAAGGAGATAGAGATAGAGAGTCATTGTCGATCGTTCTAGACATTCAGATCGGCCATCATTTTGCGAAAATCCGCTAGGGTATTGTAATCCGGGTCCGAATCGATGTCCGCGAAATCCTTGCTGGAGTCAGTCTTGACGAAGCTCGGATTGTATCGGCTTAGCGACAATGGGCACGGCAATAATTCCGGCATAACCGAATGATGAGTGATTAGCGCGGTGAGCGTCGTGAATTCTTTTGTAAAGCCCTGAAACATACAACATTATTGATTTTACAGCGTTCGTAGTGCTGTATCGACATTAATTCTAACGCTTGTCAAAGTTTACCCACCGCTATCTCGCTCGTAATAATTCTGCTTTCTCTCGCAAATGTAAACGTTGTCGAAACTAAATTTTATTCAGTCCGTTGAAAAATAAAAATAGAACTCATTTTACGCGTTATATATTTTCACAGAAACAATTAAATACCTTTTGTTTTTAAATATACAGGAACAATTTCGTTTGTAGAAAAAAAATTAGAAATGAAAAAGAAAGTAAAAATATGTTTTTTCAAGCCAAAACTGGAGATAATTTAGTCACAATCGAATTTCAACAGTAATTTCAACAGAGCTCAAAGGTTTAGTTGAAATAATAAAGAGAAAAACCCATTTGATAAATAGCGCAGAAATAACACAATCAGCTTATCGTTTTGGCTATTATTATATGCACATTGTATTATGCAATATTATGCACATTATCATGTTACTGAGCATTGTTGTAACACACGTTGCAGGACAATGAAATGCGATATTAGTCGGTCGGGGATCTTTCTTCGCGTTTTCAGTCGTAACACGCCACATAACGAGATGATATTAAATGTATCATATATACGGACGCGCTGACACGAACCTCGGCATATCAGAGCTATCGTACACCGGCATTCATTCGAATCTGGCGTTGTGCTTATTACAGTGCAATGCAATTTTCCGCGTCGTCGTAGAGCGAGGGAGAGAGAAAGCAGAGTTTTGATTTCCCAACGGCATCCGCGGCATATCCAACAAAACTCATTTATACTGGTTTCGGAGATTATCAAAGTCCGCGTACTCATTTAATCTGTCCTACGAGAGGGGGAAGTTCGACCATTTAAATACCGAATGGCTAAATGCGCGGTAGCTTTGCACCAGGCGTAGTAGTCCTGAGTATAATGTTCGGACTACTAAAAGCTTCGACCCTTCACGCATTAGCATCCTGCGCAGCTTATTTCAATATTAACTTGCGCTTATATAGGAAGATTCTCTCTACCGTGGGTATTATTTCGAGCGTTAAAAAGAATTTTACCCCTTTCACTAGAACCGACTGTCTAGCTTCGTACAAATGCAAAGATCCAATAAGCAAAATGTTGGTACGCCAACAGTTTTGAGTAGAATATCACGATTGGCATCAATTGTATTAAATTTGTGTTAGATACACAAGAGAAAAATTTTGTTGGACTAACAAAATAACTATGTGGGAGCATAATAAAAAATGTTATAAAAAGTTTTGACATTCTAACAATCAACTTACTTGTATAGTCCAACAAAATTATTTTCAGATCGATATCCAGCTAAATTTTTTAATAATTTTAATAAATTCTTTCCGTATACTACCGACTTATTCCAATAATTAATTGCCAGCAGAAAACGAACAGAATTTGTTTCGTGTTTATTTAAATGTCCTTTTTAAAGTTAAATATATTTATATTTCTGCAATTATTCCACTATTATATTTAGCTAGCAGATTCCATTGTATTTTCACTGATATTCTGGCGTATAATTTATAAGCGGACACTTTGCGAAATTTATTTTTAATACATTTAACTGTTTAAGAACGTCGTGATTCTAACTACAAACAACATCGCATCTATCAAAACAATCAGTGTTATTCTCGGAGAGAAACATTAAGTAAATTGCAATCCGTGCCTGGTGCAGATTTTAGTTTTCGCTTTTATAGTCCTTTGACGAGAACGCGAATGCTGTTTGGCCAACGGCAAATTCACTTTGACTTTCGCAAGCCGTTTGCAACTACTTTGATACTCGATACTCGGTAAAGAATAGCCGAAGACAGAAAGAGAGACTTACTTTGATTTTGTAACCTTTGTTTGTACGCATTATGAGATAATGGGCTATTCCGCTCGGCTGGAATTCACGGGGCACACGGAGGGAGAGAGCGTAACATCCGGGCTTGCTGGTACTCTCGCGCACCATGAACGCTCCTTCCGGCTCTTGGCTCAATACTTCCAGCGTTATCTCTCTGAAATCACGATTCGTATCATTAATGATAAATGGTCAGGATGTCTTTTCTTGCAGAGAGAGAGAGAGAGAGAG